CAACAACATTTTCAGCAAATGGAAGCAGAAAGAGAGCATGAGCGTGCCAAAATTGAAAAAAAAAAAGTGCTAGAATGGAGCTAGAGTGTGTAAAATTTTAGCAATTGCATGATCGATTCGATCATCTTATAAATTTTGTGTAACAACAATTTTCAAGAAATGATCTCGGTGCTCTACCAACTCAGATATTATATTTAGTAAATATTAAAATTTTTAAATAAAAAAAAGCATACAATGAAGTGTTAAAAATTGTATGGTATTATTCAGTAGGTTCTTGAGTATGCTAGTGACCAAGGTGAAAATTTTTCTTCATCAATTGGCAGCCAGCAAAATGTATGCAGCCATCCATTTCATACATTTTAATTTTTTATTTTGTTAATGTATTAAAAATATTTGAATGTTATTATATTAATTATTAAACTTTGTATTAATTAGATGTATATTTAAACGTGAATGAAGTTATAAGGTTTAATTTCAGTTTCTAAATTTAAGCTCTTTACTGAAAATAAAATTTATTATAAGAAATTAAAAAAAATAATTTTTACATAATGGCGGTGTTTGCATTGGGCAATGCCGTTAAATGAATAATTTAGTGGCATTTGTAGCATAAAACGCCACTATAAGTAGCGGCGCTCTTTCCAGCAAACCCCATTAGTTATGTGACATTTTTTATAGAAATGCCACTAAAGCAACGACGTTTTTCTCATAACAACGCCACTGAATTAGTCGCTCCTATAAGATATAAAAGCCACTAATATTGAGACGTTTTTAGATTCAAACACCTCTAAAATAGCGATATTTTCTATTACAAACACCATCAATGCAATGGCGTTTTTCTCATAAAAATGCCACTGAATTAACGGTGACTAAAAGATAAAAACGTAACTAATATTAAGTCGTTTTTAGATTCAAATGCCTCTAAAGTAACGGTGTCTCAAAGATATAAATGTTACTAAAATGATGGTATTTCAGATATAAACGTCGCTAATATTGAGGTATTTTTTCTAAAATACCGCTATTTACTGTGACACGTGTATAGATGGCACTTTACGTGACTTTTTTGCAAATGCCGTAAACCTTATAGTAGCGTTAATAAAAGTCGTTAAACGGTGAAAAAAATACCACTAAAAACCAAAACCCCTATAGTGAATTTCATTAATATAATATATATAAATTAAATTTAATAAATAATTAAAAATATAATTATATATCTACTTAGGGTAAGAAGGAACACCATATATCCACATCTAACTTGACCTCGATTTAAAAAGAAAAGAAAGAAGCTCAACCTTCCTAAATTTTGTAAGAATCCTCACATATTGGATAAAAACCTATGTGATATAGGTTGTTCTGTCATTTATAGAAACATTAACGTCTTTCTTACAAAATTTATCTAATTCAAAATATTTAAAATTTTTTAAATTACAAAAAAAATGACGAAAAAAAAGTCAAATGGGAAAGTCATGCGAATTTATTAAAATAAGATATTATATAATAATTTTATTAATATAATACATATATATATAAATTAAATAATAAAATATATATATATTTATATGCACTTAAACATGAGGAAACACTCTAAAATCTTATTTGACCTAACTCAATTTTGAAAAAAAAATAAACTCAATCTGATTTAAGAAAAAATTAATTAAAGACATATTTTATAGTCAAATGCCACATTGGTGTGCCTAATTTTGGTTATGTGATGTTAGTCAAACATGGAAGCTCTTACAATGCTAGCTGCACTTCAGTTGGGCTAAAAGAATTAATAAAAATTACAATTTAGTTTTCCCTACTTAAGTCATTCAGATGAGTTTAATCTCATGAAATAATATGCTAGTAATTGATATGAGATTCACAAATGACAATAAAATAGTTACTAGATTTATGTTTTGTTTCATTTTTCTAGGAAAATATAGCGTTCAGGATTGGAAAAAAGCTTGCATTTTGACAATTCTTTGGGCTCTGCTAGATACTAATAGAATTTGTTTCTATCTAGATTGCATATAGGGTATGTTTTCTAAATGCCTAAAAGCTTAATTAGGCATGTTTCTCCCTTTCAAAATTGTAGCTGTGGCTGTAACAAACTACTAAAACTTAGATCTAAATACCTATTGCTATGTAAACTGCTATATCTGTTGTTAATAAAGGTTGGTCAAGTCAAGAGACATCTAAGTTTCTGTACTTTCAGCTCCACCTTCAGTCATAAGCTATCATACAGGGATTTAAATTGCAGTAGCAGTCACATTTTCAGTTGTGTTACGTTTGTCATGGTTGCGGATATAATGGAGACTTTCGCGATTATTGTGGCTATCGCGACCGTGAATTTTTTTAAATTTTGCTCAACTTGCTATAAAATATAATAATTTTAATTATTAATCATAAAACCTCTTATTGTATGATTTTTAAAGTAATTTATATCATATCATGTGTTTTATTTATTTAAGAAAAATATTTATGGTAAAATATTCATATTTAAAAAATTATTCATATGATAATTAGAAAATAATAAGAGATAAATAATCATAACGAATGATATATTTAATTATTTAATTACTGTACTCATCAAATTATTACCGAACTATATTATGCATAAATCTAATAATAAGTTATTCGACATCCATAAATTAAATAAGAGCATTACTATTTATGGGTCAAGAGAATTGCTTTTTATGGGCTTACAGTAAATCAAACTTGGCAGCTTCCATGTTGTGGGCAATCTTCAACAATAATAGCCTCAAGTTTACTTCCTTTGCCTATTGACTAAATTGCATAGACCCACACAACTTTTCATCCTCTCACCTTGTATTCAATAATTTTTTTCTCCAAACCTTCATTCTCATCTCCATCACTTAGTTCTCTTTTTTTTTTTTATGTGTGCTATCTACTCGTCTTCGTCAACCTCAAGTCTCACTCTCATCTCTTGTCTATCGTTTGAAGTCCCAGCAACTCCTGCCCCCTTCTACCAATGCACCATAGCCCAATCCAATCCTAAACATATAAAATCATGGCAATTTTGGAAATTAAAAAAAAAAAAAGTAATTTGAGTGCTGAATTAATTGCTTACCTTTAACTGCATATACTTGATCTTGGTTAAGGTTGAATTTGAGAGAATTGATATTTTTGGAAGTTTAAGTTTGGTGAGTTTTTTTTCTTGAATTTGTAAATTGATGTTTATTTTTTTCTTATTGTTTTTATTTTAAGTTTTTAAATAAAATCAAATGAAAATTTCTTTTCTTGAATTTTTTAATGAAAAACAGAGTAGTGGATAATAGCAGACCACTATTGCCGCTATTCAACGTTACATTGCAATTCGTAGCCAGGACAATCCGCTATAGATGAGATTCAAATTCTTTTCTTTTTTTTCTTCAATAGCAGTAATGGATGATGGTGCGACTGCGAAATAGCAGCTGCTATACTGCTATCTCATCGCTATTTAAATCTTTGCTATCATATTTACTTGGAGTAACCAAAACTTAAACTTTAAAAAGCAAATAAGCAAACTAAAACCACGCATCCAGATGATTTATGAGACAAAACACATACTCAAAGTTGCAGTAGCTTGAGGTGAGAGCTCAAATGAATGAAACCTCTCATGATTTTATGTATATTCTAAAAGACAATTCTATGATTTGAGGATATTGAGAAGCCTCGAATCCCTCTCTTCCGTCCTTCCTTCACCGTTGGGTTTTTTTCATCGAGTAAAATGAATCTCAACTACATGAAAGTTCCTAAGATTGGAGTCATTGGTGTGCTTGGCCTCTCTGGAGTTGCCAACAGTCTCTACAACGTTGAGGGAGGGCATCGAGTTTTCAATCGTATACTAGGCATAAAGATAAAGTTTATACTGAGGGGACACACCTTATGGTTCCATGGTTTGAGAGGCCTATCATCTATGATGTTCGTGGAAGACATCATTTAGTTGAGGGCGCTTATGGTAGTCGTGATCTCCAGATGGTGAAGATTGGGCTTCGAGTTCTCACTTGCCCTAAGGCAAATCAGTTAACGGAAATTTATCGAACCTTTGGTGAGAACTATAATGAGAGGGTTCTGCCTTCAATCATTCATGAAACTTTAAACGCCGTGGTTGCTCAGTACACTGCCAGCCAACTCATTACTCAGAGTGAGAACGTTAGTAAGGAAATTCGGAAGTTATTGACTGAAAGGGCAGCTTACTTCAATTTTGAACTAGATGATGTGTCCATTATGAGCGTGACTTTTGGGAAGGAATTCACCGCTGCAATTGAGGTAAAATAGGTGGCTGCACAGGAAGCTGAGAGAGCTAAATTTATTGTGGAGAACGCTGAACAGGAAAAAAAAAAAAGTGCTGTTATCCAAGCACAGGGTGAAGCCAAGAGTGCCCAACTCATTGGTCAAGCTATTGCAAACAATCCAGCATTCATCACATTGAGCAAAATTGAAGCTTTTAGAGAAATTGGACAGACCATTCCAAATTCAGCCAACAAAGGCTTCTTGAATTCAAAGTATCTATTGCTGAACCTTCAGGAGTTGAATCTGGAAACCCACCAAAAGTAATTGCCATGTTAAGTTGAAAACCTAGTTACTGCCCGTCCTTAGTTTTGTTGCTCGCTTTGTTCAAATAAACAAACCAAAACAATGCATGCAGACGATTTATGAGACAAAACACATACTCAACGTTGGAGTAGTTTGAGGTGAGAGATCAAATGAATGAAATATGTCATGATTTTATATATATTCTAAAAGACAAGTCTAAGATTTGGGGATATTGAGAGGAGATAAAGAGGATATTGGCTTGTTTTAGACCTCAGCCGACTTTCTCACGTCGAAACGAAAACTGGGAATGAGTAGCTAAACTAACTATTTTATCTAATGCTGAAGTGGTTTGTTTCCACATAATCATTATCATCATCAAAAGAAGAACACCCACCAGAAGAAAGAAAAAAAAAAAAAAAAAAGAGGCAGCCATCAAAATCAAATCGTGAAAATATTCAAATCAAACTAAAATTGCAATTCAAGCATCTCCCAGTTCCACACAAAAAGTTTAATAAAAGGAAGAAAAACCACAGACCCAATTCACTCTATAACCTAGCAGTTCCAGTTCCAAAGCAAAGATCCTTATTTCCACTAAGAAAAAAGTAAATAAGCCAAGATGGGAAGCTTAAAGCCATAAGAAAAATCTTTCTGGAGCTCCATCATACCAGCTGAGCTGCTAACTCCTCAACATCCCTAGAAAAACAGTAATATATGATCAATCTTAGGATAAAATAGTCAAACATGAATGAACCAAATTAATCGATCAGGAATCAATACCCACCACAGAGAGTAGGAAAAGTGATCAGTCGCCATGGTTTTCATCAAGCCAAGCAGAAATGAGTTCGAGGAGCTGAGCATTGGACGACTCAGCAGTTAAGGTAAGTGCATGAATCGCTTCTCTGATTTGGACGATTGCCTGGTATCGGTTTTCCACCAAGTGTTGTCAATTCAGTCACCTCATCTCTCATCTGTGCTGTCGAGGCCTTCAGCTTTTTCACTTTCTTCTTTGCTTTCTGTTTAAGATTACAAGTTTGAACAGTTATTAGGGTTAGGGAAACTGGGGAAAAGAAGAACGAATAGAGAAAAAAAGAAAGGAAAAGACAAGACAAGACAAGACAAGGATTTGACTTATCTACAAAAGAAAAACAAGTACCGTAGTCCTTGTTTGGAGAAAACTCCGGTCTCTTTCTCTTCTGACCATGATGGATGCTCTCTTCTTTCGCCACTGTAAAAGTATATTTCAGTCAATGCGTTCGGCATAAAAATAAAAATTGAAAACAAACAGTCCAGAAGGAAAACAAAGGAAAAAGGTTTTATTTTTTTAAGTAGAAGAAGAAGAAGGTTGCAAAATTTAGCATTGAAAAGGAAAAAGAGCGGTTTTTTAGTTTCATAAAGATAACAACATTTCGGTGTTAAAACTGGAAAGTGTGTTTTTATTGAATCAAGAGAGAGAGAGAGAGAGAGAGAGAGATTATTACCAATATAATCCTGCAAAACGAGGAAGATTATAGGGCGTTTCAAGATATTGGTGTGGCTTATTTATAGTTTATATATTAATATATATATATATGTATTATCCTTTTATTTAATAGTTTAATTTAAAAAAAAAAAACAAAAACACAACAACGTCAACATCAACATCGATATTGCGATATCGCGCGACTTCGCGCGATTTTTTGAAGTCCGTCGTTCGATCCAGCCAGAGACGTGTCATCATCTCAAAAGTAACGAGGATATGGCTACTCTGCTTTTTCATTTCAACATTAAACTGAGAGTGTCATGGATGGTTGGATTTAGAGGCATATGGGAGAAAATAAATTTATAATTAAATAGTGTCATGTTCGAATTATAAATAAAAATTTTTTTCGATAAAAATTTTTAAAAAAATTAACAATAAAAGAATAATTATAGATTTTATCTATACTAACGTGAATTTTTTATCTAATCATCAGCGGTTTTAATATTGAAAAAGAAGATGATTCATGCATATGTTATCTCCTTGGTTTTTGATTTAATACTTAAATAAACTTTCAAATATTATTTTAAAATGCAAACAAGTTTTTTATTTATTACATGAAATTAAAATTATAAATTTTATTTCATTGTATTATACTCGTTAAATCTTAAAATTGAATGAATAATATTTAATTGAAATAATTTTAAAGTAGCATTCTCTTGAATATTAGTAACTTAGCTCATGCAAATAATTCCAAATAAACATTTTTAACAAATTAAATCATCTAACTAAAAAAATTTTAATAAAAATTAATATTTTATATCATCAAAGATTTAATTGCGATAAAATAAAAATTTTAGGCCTTAGTTTTATGCATAAAAAATTGTTGACTTGTTTTCATTTTTGAGTAAAGTTAAAGAATTTATTCGAAAATTATATCTGTTTTTTTAGTAGCCCAAGCTAAATTCACAATCCAACTTTGCCATAGAATGGGCTAGAAAATTGGCTTCTCTCCTTGTGCCAAAGAATTGGCGGGGCAGCTCCCAACGCTAGGTCCAACATACCATCGACAATTCCACGACCATAATAGTTGGTTGAACCCGAAATACACGGGGCAGCGGAACTCTTTAACACAATCCATTTCATAACAGCCAATAAAGAATCAAAGACATAACAAATCATCAGGGTGGTTGAAATTCCATATAATTTGTCCAGAATGTGTAATTGGAGATATTCCAGAAATCCAATCAGCAGCCATATTGGCTATACGACTTACACGGCTCAGCTTCAGATCTTCAAATTTCCAAATCCAAAGTGAAGACTATAACATAATGTCGTCTTGCTTGGACTGAAATGGACCAAAATTTACGTCTGCACAAGCGTAAGCCTTCAATCCTGTATACCTCTTAGCTGGCAAAAATGTTTGTGTCACCGTCCATAGGCTATTAGGTGATCCAAGCCTTAATATTTGTCACCATAGGCTAGATTCTCTAATGTGAACAAGGCAAGCTTAATTGCAAATTCATGTACCAAAAAACCTCAGAATCTGTTTTCAGGATGACCATCTAGAACTTTTACCGTTAAGGCAATTTGATCCCTGCATTCACAACCAATGCCTCAACTTTGATTTTGGGTTTTGGGTTTGGATTAATTAGCCCAATAACAATCATGGTCTAAGGTGTGGGAAAAAGGACCAATTGTGAAGTAGACTCCAACTGCAAAACAGAGTGATGTATGTATGTATGTATGTATGTATGTATGCATGCATGCATGTAAATACATTCATGAAAGTAGAAATAATCATTGATTTAAAGAATATAAAATAAATAGTCAACAATCATGTGGCATCTTAGTATAGCATTGCACTGTTAGTTATGGTGATTAAAGTTTAAATCTTAATTACCTTAAATACAATATATATATATATATATATAAACAAATGGAATGACATAAACTATAATATTATGGTTTCAAAAAAATATAGCAATTCAGAGAGTACTTTTTTTTCAGTACCAATTTAGAGAGTTAAATGTTACAAAACCTTGTTCATTCAATAATGCACATTTGATAATGTGATTATAAGATTTCTCTTTTTTTTTTTCAAGAATATAAGATTTCTATCTATATGATACGAATATGCAATAGCATTCGTAATTGAAAAAAAAAATTTATATTCTTCAAGATTGAAGTTTCTTAACACTACTAACTTTTTCACAAAAATATATATCTTAGACACTAAGGTAAATTTGATACATAAGATAATAGATGAGATTGGATAATTATGTTTAGTTTGTATTTAAAGAAAATTATAGGATTATAAGAAAGATTAATCAACCTCTTGACATAAGATGATTTAATCCTCCCAAAATAGAGATAATTATTTTTAATCTATGGAATTAAACTTAAAAATTATATTAATAATTTCAATTACATAAATTTTGAGGAAAGATAATTTTGATCAATAAATAAAATTATTTTATCTTATTCCTTACACACATCAAACACCAAATATGGTGACATTAGTTAACTTAATCTTATTCATAATATTTTTTTATTTTATCTTATCATATCATATTCTTATACACCAAAATTTATTAAAAGATAATTTAATTTTTTTTGTTGGTTTTTAGAATTTTGTGATTTAAAAAAAAGAACTTGAAAATTGAATATCTAGAGTTTTTTTTTTGTATGATTGTTTATGTTGAATGGTTGTAATTATTTTTTTTTTTTTGAAGTTTATAAAAAAAATTCTCAATTCTAACGCATGTAGTTTTTAAATTTAATTTAATTTATTGTTTTTAGGAGATTATTTTTAAATTCTAGATTTGATAAGTCTTTAATTTTTTATTTTTTGTGATTTTTTAGTTGATTTTTGTATAGATTATTTTTTCAATTGATTATTATTTTTGCTGCATTTTTTATCTTAATATGTGATTAAGATTTAATATATTGGTTAATCTTAAAATTTTTGAGGATGACTTTTCATTGATGAGTTGAATGTTTTTAAAGATTTTTTTTTATTATTTAGATATTTTGTTTTATTTTTTATTTTTTTGCAACAAAGTTGAAGGGTTTTGTAATTGCCAACACTTTTTTCTCCCTTTACTAATCTTCGTTTTTTTACTTTCTAATTTTATTATAATTATAATTATAATTAAACAAATAAAAAATATTTTGTTTGAAAAACCTTTCTAAAAATTTAAAAATATCATGTGACCAGTAAAGCACACAAAATTTTATACAAAACTCTTACTAATAAGTAATAAATTTTTACATAATTTTAAATATAATTAAATAACTATAAAATTATGATAAAATAAATTGTTAGTGAGATGCACTTTTGAAGATCATTCACACAAAATCATCTTCCAGATTTTTTCTCCTGATATTTTGGTGAATATTAGAAGTTAAACTTTTGGTTGTTTTTATCCTTAACTAATTTTTCCATGTGTCTTCCTTTCATTTGTTGGCAAAGATAAAAAAATCAAATAAGGGTGACACATGGATATTTCAATTGGCTTTATTTTTTCATAAAATTTATGAAATAAAAACCATAAATAAAATAAATAAATAAACAAAAACAAAAATAAATAAAAATAAAAAATAGCTCATAAGGGTGCCATATGGACATTCCCTACGAGCTTAGAATATTTAATTTTTAAATTAAATGTCAAATAATAATTTTATGAATAAAATTATATATATAAATTTAAAATTAAATTAATAATAAAATATTTACTTTTATATTTACCACGAGGTGGCTTGAACAAAGCATTCCAAATATGTTTTTACCATCCTTGCTTTCCTAAAAAATTGATCCGACTTAATTCGGTACTAATTTCTTTTACAAAAATAATAATATCGAATTGATATGAATTGAAACCCATAAGATACTATTGTTTTTTGCTACCTCTATCAACTAGCTCATTTTGTAATAAAAATTGTCTATTTAAAGAAACAAAAAAACAAAAACAAAAATATGAAAGGAAAAAAAAATGAGGGTGTTGTTTATATACTTCAATTGACATTATTTTCTCACAAATTTGTCTAATTAAAAAAGAAGAAAGGAAAAAACCAAATAGTAAACAAAACAAGGAAACAAATATTTTTAATCAATAATATCAAACGAGTCTAATCATAAATCTTTAAAAAAACATTATTTATTAAATATAAAGAGTAGAAAAAGGAAATAATTTAATAAAAAAAGAAACAAGAAATAACAAAAAAAAGAAGAAAATAAAACAAAAAGGAAAAAAGGTGAGTTAAAGGGAGCGAAACGTGGAGGTTAAATATGCAAAATTGATAATATGGATAATAAAATAATTATTTTATATATATGCATAGGCAGATCGGGTAAATCACCATTAACCTACACCATCCCACTTCGTTTCTTTTTAAAAAAAGTCAATTTTTTCTAACTCGATCTCAATAAAAAAGGGCACCCCTATCGAATTGGTTTGATACGAATTATATTTTCATCTCTATCTATCAGCTTTTTTATTACAAAATTTATCTAATTAAAAAATTTTAAAAAGCCAAAAGAAAAAAAAAGCAAATTAGGGTGCAACATGGATGCCTTAATCTCTAAATTAAAAAACTAAAAAAATTTTGAAAAAAAAAACCACAATACTTACATCTTAATTATATATAAATATAATATTTTTATAAAATTAAGATATTAAATAATAAATTTATTAATATAATATATATAAATAAAAATAAATAAATAATTAAAAATATAATTATAGATATACTTATGGTAATAGGGAATGCCATATACCCATATCTGACTTGATCTCGATTTAAAAAAAAAAAAAAAAAAGCTCAACTTTCCCAATTTTTGTAAGAATCCTCACATATTGGATAAAAACCCATGCGATATGGGTTGTTCAGTCATCTATGCAATCATTAACCTTTTTTTATAAAATTTATCTAATTCAAAAAATTAAAAAATTTTTTAAATTGCAAAGAAAATGACGAAAAAAAGTCAAAAGGGAAAGTCATGTGAATTTATTAAAATGAGATATTAAATAATAATTTTATTAAGATAATATA